GGTTTAGGGTTTAGGGGCTTGGGGGCCTTTGGGGCCCAGAGGGCCGGCCGTTGCTTTCAAAGCGAAATTAAGGCTTCAGGGTCTTGGTGGCTCAACACTTGGGGCTTGGGGCATAGAGTTTTAGGAAAGAGTTTCAGGCTTGAAGGTTTCGCGGGTTAGGGCTTTTGAGTCTTATTGGGTTCTGGGTTTATTTTCGGGTCGGGGGGCAGAGAGCTTGGGAATGTGAGGTCGTTTGCTGTGGTTTAGTCGTTTAGAGTCTTGTCTTAAACATTGTTGCTGCACTATCTCCGTCCTGCCGTTCACCAGAATGGACAGACGAACATAAGAGTATATAATGACAACGGCACCTATCGCAGCACAAAGCGAAACCAGGAATTCTACAGCGCTGCACATGGCCAGCATAATTCAAGTAATAAGGTTGATGATATAAATCCTGCATTACCTGAAAGACCCTAAACTATGGGAATTATGGCACATTCCTTATTATGGGTGATGCAGGAATTATATCATCAGCAGTAGGAACTAAAAATAAGATAACAAACAGTTTAACTTGTGTAACAAACAACGCACATCATGGTGAAACAATAGCAACAAACTTACCGGCTCCAAACATGAAACCTCCACCCCACCCCCCCACCCCCAAACATTAGATCCGAGGAGGCCCGAAACTCCTTAACCTTAAACCCTAAGCCCACTGGGTCACTAGAAGCTGAAAGCGTGCACCCTAAACTCTGAAGCTCTAAGTCCGAAAGCTCTAGCCCGAAAGCCCTGAAGCCTTAGCTCCCAAAACCCGACAGAATCCGTAGAACCCTAAAGACCCTTAACAAGATCCTGGATCCCAAAACCCCCTTAAACCCTGCAGAACGCCACCCCCCCACATCTTAAAACCTAAACCCAAAACCCTAAAATCACCCCCTCAAATCTTCAACCCTAAACCCTAAACCCTAAAAGACGGGAATCCCCCTAAAGAGCCCCCTTAAAACACAGACAATTCCGCCTACGGAAGACGAAGTCCGGCTCAGGGCGGCCCCAGGGCAGGAGGCCCAGGAGGCGCCTTTGGCCGAGCCGCCTCTCGCCATGGTCGACCATCTCCTCACGGTTTAGGGTTGAGGGTTGAGGGTTTAGGGTTGAGGGTTGAGGGTTTAGGGTTTAGGGTTTAGGGTTTAGGGTCGAGGGTTTAGGGTTGAGGGTTTCGGGTTGAGGGTTGAGGGTTTAGGGTTTAGGGTTGAGGGTTTAGGGTTTAGGGTTTAAGATTAAGGGTTTAAGGTTTAGGGTTTAGGGTTTAGGTTTAGGGTTTAGGGTTGAAGGTTTAGGGTTTAGGGTTCAGGGTTTCCTGCTGAATGCTACGAATCAAGCATTCCACGGTAATTCGAATAATAGTGAAAAGCTCATAATAAGAATGATAGTATTGATAATACTACTAATATTACCAACAATAATAATAGCAGTAATAGTAATAATAATCATAATAATATTGATATTAATAACAATAACAATAACAGTAACAATAACAATAATAATGATTAAAGCGGTGGTGATTGAATACTACGAGCCAGGCTACTGATGATAATACGAATAGCGCCTTTTCTAATCATCATAGCACTCCTACCAAGAACAAGATAACAATAATCATCATCATCATAACAGTAGTGTAACAAGAAGAGGCGTAGTGCTGATAGTTCTCATAATCAGATCACCATTAACAAATCGGGTTTAGGGTTTGATTGTTGAGGGTCTAGGACCGTTTCAGGAAAAATCCTTAGGGTTTAGGCTGGAAACTTGACAAGGCTGTTGCTGCCGTCAGAACTGCCTTGCACTGTGAAGACACGATCTTTATGCAACGCAATAGGGAGTTTAGGGTTTAGGGGTTTAGGGTTTACGGATTAGGGTTTTAGGGTTTAGGGTTTAGGGTTTAAGAGTCAAGCAAAACCCACGGTGCCACCACCGAAAGACTATCTGCTTGGTTCGCGTTCGTCGTCCTCCGCCATTTCGTGCCCTTCTTCCTCGCGAAGCAAAAAGGTTTGGGCATGGTTCCATTACGTACACTTGACCGAGCGACAGGGACAGATGCAGACAGAGGAAGAGGGAAAGATCTAGCTGGCCGCGATCGTCTTCAGAAGTCTGTACTCTGCTGGATGAGGAGAGGTCTGAAAGCCATCGGGATTTGGGCACAGTACACTGCTCGGAGCCTAGCCCCCTCCGACACTCTCGGCACACAAAAGCCATGAACAGCATCGCCCAACACTTCGTCTGCCTCCATCTCCTCCAGCGCTTCTGCAATGGATTCTTTCCTCAGTTTGCCACCAGCAGACTAACTATGACTAATTAACTGGGCAAGTGCACGCGTAGCGGCAATTCCCTCACCAATGCTATAATGCAGAAACTTCACACGAAAACCGTCGGCCTTTGTACTTGTAGCTTCAGACCCCGATGAAGCTAACTCCGAGCAAGCTGCTGCTTGTCGACCTGACACGTCACGATGCGTCTTGCACATGAAGGCATTGCATACTGCGGCGATCAAAGTGTACTATAGTATATTATACTCCATTATGAGTATATGGCAGTATATCATCACTACGACACCTTCGAAGCGGCATGGCCATTCTTGGAGCTGCTGCTCCCAAACTGGCTGGAACTATCAGGGATACTTCTCCAGTGACAAGTGCACTCGCAACTGCTTGGCCCGTACACGCATGTGAACAAACAGACGCCAAAGGCTTATTGCACACAGACGAGGCAAACATTTATTCCGACAGTACTGACAGGTGAACCACTGTTTCCATAAATACGTTCCGGTCTTGGTCGATGCATGTGCAGTCCAGTGTTGTGCCACTGAGCCCATCGACTAGCACTGCTGTTCGGTCTTCTACTCGTCGGCACTATTCCTATGACTATGTACAATTTTAAGTGCACAGAAACATGTAGGTGGACGTACACATGCACATGAGCAGCCTAGCATACACATACACATATAATTATACCCACACATGCACAACCTCATACGTACATGCATATTCAGACGCACACACACACATATATATATATATATGTCCAGGGAAATATACATATAAATAGGACATAAATAGGACCCATACCAGTAGCTATACCTACACTTGCACGTATGAACATACTCAGACACCGGCGCCTACACGTGCACGTAAACACATACATACACCTACGCGTGGGCATGTAGATATAAGCTTATGTGCAAACATACAAGCAAGCCATAACACAAACAAACAATCAAGACAAGCATGCATACAGACGCACATGCGTACATGCCATATGCCAGATACATACATACATACATACATACATACATACATACATACATACATTCATTCATTCATTCATTCATGCATGCACTGAGAGCATATGCTGAAATCGATGTGCGGCCCTCCAGCGGGACCGGCACCTGGACATTGAGCTCGAAGAGGCCGAAAAGTTCCAGAACATAGATGACAGTCATCAGGAGCCAGCCAACCTGTGGAGCTCGGCAGGTCTTGCTGTGACGAGTGAGAGGTGACGGTTTTCGATTTGGGAACGCAGGCTTTTTGGCTTGTGGGGTGAAGTTTAAAGTGTTGCGCTCCGCCCAGAAGCTTCCACAGAGGGGCTTTCAATAAAACGGCTGAAGAAACGCCCTAATCCGTGAATGTGCGAACGAACTAGGCAGCTGAAGGCTGAAAAACCGACACGTGGTGCTTGACCATGTGAGAGTTTCCAAAAATTAGGGTACCTGATTTTGGGGTCCTTATAATAAGGATCCTATTATCTAGGGTGCTATATTAGGGTCCCCTATTTTCGGAAACCCCCATGTGCTGGCGCAACTCGCGACGTGCCTGGAGGCTTCGTGTGCAGTAGAAGAGCACCTTCCACGGCAGTCTCCTGAGGTGAGGCAAGGACTTTGGGGGAGGGTTTAGGGTTTAGGGTTTAGGGGTAGTGGGCTTGTCGGAGATGCTGCTTGCAAAGCTGGATTGCGATGTATGGAGTCATGGACCAGCCGAGCGTCTGCAGGTGTGGTGTGTGATCCAAGGATGGCATCCAAGGCTTCTTGTTGCCGGTGAACACGAAGCCTCAGAGGCAGCACCGAAAATCGTCCAAAGGAGCATCCCTGAAGCCACGGTTTAGGGTTTAATTTAGGGTTGAGGGTTTCGGGCCGACACTGAAAGAAGTGCCGGCTGGGAGCCAACAAGGCGACACGCCCTCCCGTCCCACCAAGGCATCCCGTCACACTCTCTCGTAATGCCTCCAGATCTATCCCTGTGAGGTGATTGGCTGCACTGGGTAGCATGTGAAACATAGACCATAGTCGATGAAGCCCGTTGGCGTTGGTTTGTTGAAAATAGTTTGCACACTGCAGATTTGCAACGGGCACGGGGCGGTTGAATGAAGCTGCACCCTGTTCTGACTATGTTGCTGTTGCTATCAGACTCGCAACACTACTAAGAATCAGAATCGTAACACTACTAGCAGTAGAAGTAATCGGAATCATACTCAGAAGAACAGTACTGATAATGACGGTCTATACCCTCTACAGCTCTACAAGCCGCACTCCAGCTCCGTCAAGTAGCTCTTGCCTCTCTTCGGGCCGTCACTGGAGTCGGAGTCAGAATCACTGCTACTGCTGTATCTGAAGTTGTTGGCGCCAGGGCCTGAGACTGCAAGAATGCTTCCTTGGGTAAAAGGCTTAGGGGTTTAGGGTTTAGGGTTTAAGGTTTAAGGTTTAGGGTTCAGGGTTTAGGGTTTAGGTAAGGCATGACAGCGCCAAGAACTGGATGGGATATGATGGGATGCCTGGTTTGGTTCTTTATCTTATGCAAGTAGGAGTATTCAAAACTATTCTATTTCTTCGGCTGATGCACTGCGAGTTGATGCTCAGACTTGTAAATAAACAAGGGTGCTAGCTCATAACAATATCTGTTCTACAATTCTTCTTCTAGGCTCTCCCAGTCTCTAGATAGGAAGCTCTATGACTCTATGAGGTTCATGTGCTAAGAAAAGACATGTTGGCTAGCAAGAGAAGCTGCGTTTGAAACTCATAAGCGGTCTCCTGCGAGGCTGGCTCCGGAATCGTAGGGGTGAATTCACCATGCACATGCAGTAACACAATAATAAAACTATCTATATGTATGCACGTGTATACCCTGCCAAATGTTCATACATATATATATATATATGTACACACATATATATATATATAACACATATACACATACACATACACATATACATATACATATGCATATACATATACATATACGTATACATATACCTATACATCACTGGGGCGTGAGGCACCGGAACATCTCCGGCCACAAACCTTTATGGCCGACGTTGGAAGCTTCAGAACCAGAAGGTACGGACCCCTCCGCAACAAAAAGCCATAACACTTTGGAGAGTGATCTTCAGTCTCAGGAGCCATGAATAAGCTAATCCGAAGCGCGAAATCCCAAACCCTGAACCCTAAACCACCAAACCCCGACCCCGGAACCCCTCTAAACCACCAAACCCCGAACCCCGAACCCGGAACCCTTCCAAACCCCGAACCCCGAACCCGGAACCCTTATAAACCACCAAACCCCGAACCCCGAACCCGGAACCCTTCTAAACCACCAAACCCCGAACCCGGAACCCTTATAAACCACCAAACCCCGAACCCCGAACCCGGAACCCTTCTAACCCACCAAACCCCGAACCCGGAACCCTTATAAACCACCAAACCCCGAACCCCGAACCCGGAACCCTTCTAACCCACATAAACCACCAAACCCCGAACCCTAGACCCTAAACCCTAAACCCCAAACCTTAAAACCTAAACCCTAAACCTTAAACCCCAAACCCCGAACCCTAAACCACCGAAATCGATGAATCGGACCCGGCCTTGGAGTTTCTGCACAGCCCGCTCTGCGGCCTCCACTTGGTCTCTGACTTGGTCCAGCCCAAGGACCTCCCCAAAATAGGTCTGGGTTTCAGGGTTTCGGGTTTCAGGCTTTCGGGTTTAGGGTTTCGGGTTTCAGGTTTTCGGGTTTCAGGTTTTCGGGTTTAGGGTTTCGGGTTTCGGGTTTCAGGTTTTCGGGTTTAGGGTTTCGGGTTCAGGTTTAGAGTTTAGGGTTCAGGGCTGCGGGCTCAGGGTTCAGGATTTGAGGGTCTGGAGGTTGCGCGATGTGTCGGGTTTGGAGTCCGGCTCCGGCGTTCGGAATTTGGGGCCAGTCGTGGGAAAAGCCGCACAGGGCGCCTGACGTCTCGGGCCCTCGTGCATTGAAAGCCAAGAAAGCTCCCTGCTGTCAAGTTTAGGGTGTAGGATTTAGGGGTTAGGGTTTAGGGTTTAGGGTTTAGTGTGTATGCGGAGCCTCTAAAGCCTAAACCCGGAATCCTTAAACATCAACATCAATTTCTGACCTTGAAAACCATAAACTACCGTTGATGATTTAAATCCTACCTTACCTTAAGGACTCTAAACTATGGGAATTATGCTATATTCCTTATTACGGGTAGTATCATCAACCCTAGCAGCCCTGCCTTTTCCCCTCGGACAGAAAAGCAACACGTTCGTCAGAGAGCCTCGCTGTCCTCGTGGGGAGCTTCGTCGATGGTCTGCCCCTGGAAGTGTCCGAAGAGGACTAAGAGTAATAGTAATAACAGTAATACTAGCAATAGTCGTAATAGCAATAGTCGTATTCATAATAATAGCAATAGTATTAGTAATAGTGATGGTGATGCTTTTCTAGCGCGAGATTTTGATTCCCCAAGAAGTAGCAAAAGCCAGCAAAGTGGGCCTGTTCCAGCTTAGAGCCATTTCTCTGGCTAAATGCTTCCGCAGAAAGGAGCCCATCTGCCTCAAAGAAACCCTCACTTAGAACAGCACCCTTGCGTGAAGCGAAGCAGAAAGCCCTCGACATTTGTCATGTCCATAGCACCTCGGACCCTGTGAGTGCAGAATGGAAGTGTGGCAAAGAGCCACAGAATCCCCCAGATGCACAACAACAACCCTCCTCAGCATGGCTAATATAACAGCCGTAAGACTTAGAATGGGGTTCTGGGGCCCCTATACGATAATCATACTAAGGAACCCTCACACTAGTATAGGTAATCATTAAGGCCCTATATTCCCTCAGCAAAGATTAATAATTAGAATAGGGCTTTGGAGTATAGTATACTATAATTCGAATAAGGAACCCCCAAAAATCGTATAGGTAAGTATTAAGGCCCCTCTATTCCCTCAGCAAAGATCCCTGACAAGAACCCCGAGCCCCAGTGTCGACGTGCATCCTGGGCACCTCCAGGTTGTAGTAGAACTGGGATGGGCATCGCAGCTTTGGCAGATGAGGGGTTTCAGGGTTTAGGGTTTAGGGTTTAGGGTTTCGGGTTGAGTCTCAGGGCTGCTGCAGGGGCCTTAATAATTTGAATAGGGTTTCGGGGTCTGTTATACTATATAATCGTTTCAACAAGGACGCCCCATAGCCGTGTTCTAATTATGAAGGCCCCTTATGTTACAGTTCCGCAGTTCAGGGTTTGGGCTGCGGGGCCGATGGTTGGGAGCTCGGAGTTGGGGGCATCCTTTGCAGTGCGGGTTTTGGGGTTTTAGGATTTCAGGGTTTAGAGTTTAGAGTGTCGCTTGTGTCTTTATTGCACCGGACTTTACCGAATGCCATTTTCGGTCCCATTTTCTAATGGTACTAGAATATACTGCGTTATTCTACATTATGCTGTGTTGTACTATACTATACTGATAACCATCACTATCCTACACTATATTCTACCCTAGATGTTACTATATTGTGTACTTTGAGCTGAATGTTGGGTCATACCCGGAGACTCCAGTATCCCTTAATTAAGGAATATACCGTAAATCATATTAGGGATCCTACTATAATTTTTAAGTAAATTCCTTAATTAAGGGGGAACTGCTTGACCGGCTCCCGGGGTTCGGGAGAGCCCTACCCGGCCAAAGGAAAGGCATCGCGAGCGCAGGCTTCGGCCCCCCAAAGACCCGGTCCCCCCTTAGGGTTTAGGGTTTAGGGTGTGGGGTTTAGGGCCCCCTTCTTCGAAGCCCCGAAGACCCCAGAAAGCCTTGAAGAGTTTTGAAAGATCGTCCCTATCGTACCGCTTAAAGGCTTACGGTCGCGCATTTTAGTACCCCTTCCCTGGTCATGATACTCCTTATCATACCTCTTACAGCAGTCGCTAATTTTTGTACCCCTGTCTGTGAGTTATAATGCCCTATCGCACCCCTGCAGAGAATCCTTGAAAGGAGCCCTTAGAGGAGCTCACCAAAGCAGCCCTGAAAGCAAGCTCCGGTCAGGCGGGGCACGGCTTGGCTGTCCGCCCCACGAAACCTCAGAGGGTTGAGGCTTTTCGGGCTTCAGGGATTCACGGCTCAAGGCTTCAAGGGTTTAGGGTTAAAGACTCAGGGTGAAGGGTTTAGGGTTTGGGGTCAGACAAGACCGAGGCTGTGAGGGCATTGAGGTTTGTGAAGTTTGGGGGCTGGTGACCCGAATATGGAATCCTGAATCAATCGTAGGATCTTGCCCCCGAATCGTACCCTACATTGCTGAAATTCCCGTTTGAAACGCAGAAGGCTCAACAGCGCCTACGCCGAGTACATCTCCGGCCCCTTTCCGTTGATCGAGATGAGACACGGCCCGAGCAATGCACCCGAGAAGGGATCTAGCTCCTTTCAGGCCGCTCTAGTAGGACTCATGTAGGGGCCTTAACAATCATAATCATAACAATAATAATAATAATATTAGTAGTAGTAATAATAGTAATAATTATCTTTTATAATAATAATCGTAATAATAATAACAATAATAATAATAATAATAGGGCTTTGGGGCCCATTAGCAAGGAACCCGAGGTTTGGGGTTTGGAGTTTCGAGCTGAGTCAGGGCCTAGCTGAGGAGTTTAGGAAGCTTCGGGGTTCGGAATGTTTGGGGCTGGGTTTAGGGTTTAGGGTTTAGGGTTTAGGGTTTAGGGTTTAGGGTTTAGGGTTTAGGGTTTAGGGTTTAGGGTTGAAGTTCAGGGTTCAGGGTTTGGAGCTTGCCATGCTTGCGGTTCTGGGCTTTCCGGTTTCAAAGGCTTCCAACTTACTTGGGTTCGTGGGTCATGGGTTTAGGGTTTAGGGTTTAGGGTTTAGGGTTTGGGGTTGGGTTCATGGCTTCACTGCTCCTTCTTCTCTTCGTCATTCAGCTCGTGCCAAGAACGCAGGTCCATCGGCAGCACGGTGTCTGGATCCACCTAGACATATGACATATGCAGGCCTGTATTTGCACGCTGTATCGCCCTAGCAGCCGGGTTACTAAGATGGGTTATGGGGCCAAATATCAGGTTCCCGCTCACCTTGTTCCGCTTGGACAGTTCCCCGAGGAAAGTCTCGTGCCAGAGGTTGAAGTCGCGCCTGTCACAGAGGACAAAGTACCCTGAACCCTGATTTTGCGAGTGCATGATGGAAATGGCCGAGCCTTAACCGCTGAATTTCGTTGCGCATGTCCTCCTTAGCTGTTGCTCGAGTGGCTCACGGCTGCCAACTCTCAACACTCACTACCTGAGCCTTGCATGGACAAGGCTTCTGTTGTACCCTTAATTGAATATCGAAGCAGTGGGGCGCAAGCGCCAACTACTCGCATGCTTCTCTCTCGAGTTTTCAGCATACGAATCACTTCTTGACTCCACAGGCAACACAGAGGATGAGCCATCGAGCATGCACTTGCATTTGCAAACAAACCAGCGATGCCGCTTCTTACTACCAAAGACTTGCAAGTTGAGAATGCAGTGGCCGTTTGCTGAAGCGAATGCTCACAATTACACTTCAGAGAAGTTGAAGCAACAACAGGAGCACACACCTCCCCACATCCCAGTTCACTTCCGACAGTCACGATGGATTGCTACTGAGCGTATGCCCGACAATTCCTCCTTCTGCGGCAGCTGCCAAGGAAAACGACAGAAGCAACAATGTTACCCATAGCCGTCCGACTTCTCACAACATGATACAAGCAAGAAGGCTGTGAAGACCTCATGTGCTTGCGGGCGGCATTGAAGCTGTTCATCCGCGGCAGGGCCTCCCAACGCCGAAGCGCTGAATGCGCCAAAAAGAGTGCCTGGAAGAGGCATGCTGGCACGAATGATCTTAATCTGTGTGACGCATCGTTGATGAACTGCTGAACCCACGCCACTTCAGTTCTTTGGTTCTTTGGAGGCCCCCCTTGCGTGAAGAATCATCCGTGGAGGTCGAGTTGGCACCGTTTTGTGATCTCTGTCAGCTCTCGATCACTCTCTTGAGCAGACGACTTCGTACAGATCCCATCAAGCCACATGGGGCTGACTGCACTCTTGCTGGAGGCGTCCACAGCTACACGACCACCATCTGAAGTCCTCCCATCTCAGTTCTGTTCTTAGTATGGCTCCCGAGCTTCTGCGGCTGGGTAGACATAGGCTCGAACTCTACGACAACGGAACCAACCCACCCGTACAGACACATGTGGATCAAAGCTTCCTTGCCCTGCCGTTCGAGCTTCATGCTTCAAAGTTGAGCACTACTAGTTCAAGATTTCTACCCGTGGCCTCTTTGCATGTGCTCCAGCCTTAAAACCCAACCCTGTGCCGTAAACCCTTCGTGCTCCTGGTAAAGCCTTGCGCGGCTTTGCGATCCCTTTACCCTACTTGGAGGATCATGGCACTTAGTAACTAGGGTGATAACTAAGGCAACTATACTTATAATTACGTACAACCCCACTTACTAAGTCCCATGATCCTAAGTAAACTCCCTAAACCAAGCAAAGCCTCCAGGAGCCGTCTCCGTTCGGAGCCGCCAAGGCACTCGATCCACTCGACGAACTTCGGCTCCGTCCAGAGGCTCCGGTGCTGCCTTCGTGCTCTGCAGGCTCATGGTCGCCTCAGGAGGCGAATCCAATAGTCACGCCTGAGCACAACATGTCGTACATAAACGGGTACATACGTATACGTGTACCCATACATGTACATGGACGCAGAAAAAGTCTACATATACATAGACACGGATGCATATCTGTACACACTTGTTTGTGTGGCGTATGTATTAATACAGATAGACAAATACATGATGACATACATATATACATCCATACATACATACCTTCATTACATTACATTACATTACATT